GACTGCAGAGTTTAGTCATCATTAGGATTATGGACGATCCAACAACTTGGGCGACGACTCCTTCATTCTTGGCGTCCATAAGGCATTTTACTCGCTCAACATCTGGACGTTCTGCAAGCTTGGGCGACAATATTCCTTTGTTTGTGGGCTGCTTCCTCTTTGTTTGGGCTTTCATCTCGAATTCTCAACTAAACTCCGCTCTTTGGGCCATTTAATTTGGGCTGCACTTTTAGTGTGTCAACAGAATTAAAGAATAATAAGACGGGCGAGAATGAGTTGAATGAAAAGACGTTGAGGCGGCGAAGCCAGCCGTTGATGGCGGCGGAAATAGATGGATATATTGAGGACAAGGGATCACCAATGTTGCGGCGGTCGAAGCGAGGGAGAAATCATGCTCTGCCAAATCGGTACAGAGACTCGGTGCTCGAACCATTGACTCGCTTGTCCAGACACCGGTCATCAGGTGTCCCAACAAAACGTAGGGTGAAATTTCAGAAATTCAAGATTCAGACCACTAAGGTGGACCCAAATTGTCATTCTAGTTTACTTTAATACCAATTGCCACAAATTTTAATATAATGTTTAGGAATTGAAGCACCACTTGGGATGTACAATACCTCAATTGATGATCCATTGTCCAAAAATTGACAACCCCAACCCAAATATTATATATGAGATTTTGTTCAGTAGGTACTTCACCTGCCCCCCTCCAATCCATAAACACACTAGTTAATAAATTAGAAAGCAGCCACCTTCTTCAACCAACAGCTGCAGCACACGGCGGAGCAACCATCTTCAACATTAGCAACAGATAATCGTTTAGTAGAGTTGTGCTACTCGAACAGACCAGTAGTGATGTAGATGCTAACTAAAATATCTATCATTTCTTTCAAGTTATTTTTGCTAATTGATTTGGGAATATATTCGTGCAAATTGGCAATGTTTTGTACGACTATAATTAGAGTAGGCCCTAGTTAGTTTACCTATATGGTACTTGTCTTAAAGTGTCTCAACTAGAGCCTTTTCAAAATTCAAATTGGCTCGAATGAATTATCTCAATTGATTAATTGTCCTTCCTCACTCATTATTATCAGTTAGATAGTGAGATCTCTGCTATCAAGGTTGTTGAAAGTGTCTAAACATGATAAGGAGCATGTTTGGATGAGCGTATAGATTAAGAGTAAGTCTCTTTGATTTAGATAAAATTCAGATTTTTAGTAGATTTTGATAAAGATAATTGAATCATGTGCAGCTGAAAGTTGTGAATTCCATAAATATATGTGGTTAAAATGAACTATCAATTTTGATTTAGAATTTAAGTCTCATTTTGTGGAAAAAATTGTGCCACGTCATTACTTGGGAGGTTCATGGCTTGAAAGATTGAATAAGCTACTCAGGTGAAATCAAACATGAGAGCGCGAAAAAAGGGATATTTACATCAACAGAAATAAAATGTCATTGTAGAATTTTCTTGAAGCTAAAGAATCCAACTCTTTGCATAGATTATGACTCTTGTATTACCTCAAGATGCAAAATATTAAAAGTGAAATTACATCATGCATTCATGTTTAGTAAGGAACCGTACTGTGTGTGGCCCGTGTCTTTGCCATGGGGCTTGATTTGCTGCTTTTGTTTTGTTGGGACAATTCAGTCCATGAATCGACAATCGAGTCCCTAAACTTGTACGGCAGCACTTGAGTGCTCCCCCGATTCGACCGCGTCATTGGAAAAATGAACAGTAACATCTCTTTGAAAAAATGAAAAGTGAAAATTGGATATGGCTTACGCATGTACGAGTGGATCCGGTATCTATTGAGTTCTTTTTCTGAGATCAACAGATTAGTATGATGGACTACAAATTTTTTTTACTTCATTACTGAAATCCACGCATGACATAAATAATTACACATGAACTTGGGGGACTATTATTATGACTCGTTACTAGAGACTGCCACGTGGCCATTGTAATTAAGCTGTGGGACCCGATCCAACCCAACCGCCTTGCCTATTTCTATGTAGACCGAGGCCCTTATTCGAGGCCTATTATCAACCGATGCCCAATTACTTCTGAGGCACTAGATTCGAGGCTTCCCAGCTCGTGATGGCTAGAGGTGTCAATTTGAGTGGTCCGGGTCGGGTGGGTCCGCCAACATATGAGCCCGGTAACGGCCCACGTGAAAAAAGTCCGTCCCTACGGATTCCGGGCAGGTTCCGGGTCGGCTCACAAATTTTGGACTACAACTCAGGCCCGCCCGCTGACCCATCCG